TTTACACTCTCATAACTGGGACCTGTTGATTCCGACTAGGTTGAAAATCACCGCCAACCCTCCGGCGCACTCGAGAATGTTTTACCACGTGCTTCGCCATCGCCTCGGAGCGATTGCTATTGCCACAGGACCCTCAGCCACCTCGGAACGTTTTCGCGGAATTTTCATGGCTGGTAACTCCTTTGCAAGGATTAGAACCCTGATGATGTTGTACTGAACTGTTGGAGTAAGAAATAACCTAAGGAGGAAACGTAACACTGCTGAGGGGTAGGGTTAAAGAGACCTTAGGAGGTCCATTCTTGGTAGACGAGAGGGCTACTTGTTTCGCACTCCTGTGCTTTCTAAGCGAAAGAATCCTCCTAATTCCTTATACCGATAAAGCTACTGCTAGAGTAACCATCAAGTGGATACTTTCCTAAGTGGACACCACTTAGCATGGAACTAAGTATCTGAAACGATCTACCACGTGCGCAGATTGTTTAGATTAAGCCACTCTACGAGAGCTTCCATACAGATTAAGCGTCCATCATGAGTGGTTATAACCTAAATAGTGTTAGGCTGAAAGGCTACTGTACGACGACACGTCAATATTACGTCGTTCGCAGGGAAAGAGTTCACTCCAAAACACAAGAAGGACCACCGACAATTTCAATGTCCACATCCAAAAGTTTCGCGTCGATATCAAGGTACCCCAGGTACCCCACCATGAAAAAAAAACGGTTCCATATAATTCTTTAACGACCAGGACTCTCTCCCGTCATGTTCTAAGAATAGCCTACGTAATGGCCAACGTTTCCCTCTACCTTGCTACCCGCGTAAACGTGTTTATGATCCGGCAAGTGAAAGAATTGGTCTTGGCTAGGGAAAGAGGTTCCAGGAACGTGAACCCCCACTCCATCTCGTTGCTACTTTCATTGAACGTCGTGGCACTCTGACTCTGAGCATCAGAGCTGCCCAAGGCGGTAAGAGGTGGGACATTCCCGTCAACAGGGCAACAGGAGGAAGCTCTCCCAAGTTAGTTCTTCCGCTTGACAGACCCCGTAGCTTTCTTGTAAATCCGAGGGGAAGTTTCTGGAAAACTCCGCCATGTTTAACGCAAGGAAACCCTATCATTTCGCTTGCAAGTTGCATAATGCAACTTACATTTTCGTAAGAAGGATGCTCCGTCTAGAGTTAGGTAGTCCTGTTCAATAATTCTGGCTACTACAGTTGAATTTCACTTAAGTCTGAAGTGAACCTTCTTCGATAATCCTGGTCATTATCCTATTAAGCACGATGCGCTACTATAGTGACTTTCGCGGATGTCATCTTTCTGAACAGGGCGCCTCTAAATGTATATGTATCATATCTTTAAGAAAATTTAATCATCGAGAACTTCATTGCAAAGTACTCGTAAAAAAAACAGCATCCCGTCACACATTGCAGTGCTATATCATTTACGCATAATTCGCATTGAACTCTGCCGTATAGAGAAACAGCAGTGCCTAAGAGGTTATATCCGAACTTCATCTGAACTTGTTAAAAAATTCTAGCAACTACAGCTGCATTTCAGTCGAGAGTGAAGTAATCTTCTTCAAAAATTCGAATCGTTATACTTGAATTTCATCTAGATGAATTCTGTTCAGGTCTCCATAGTGATTTCGATGCTGATGGATTGTCTACATGTTTTTAAACTTCAAGCATTGAAAGTCAGTTGAAACAGACTTGATGTCACTCGTGAAAGAGGATACTGGACATTGGTTGTCGAGATTGCAATGCAATTTACTGATCTAAGCTATGAAATTAAAATACTAAGATCATGAATATTAAAATCATGTACTACAAAGGCAAACGTACATCATAAGGACGTTTCCGCTTTCCCTACCAAAGTAACGTCTCATTCACAATCACATAAAGATGTCTCCAGCGGCCACCAAAGAAGCATAAATCTACCTACGACCCGCAGGCACCTGGTTCAAGAGTTTAACGTCTCTCTAACCGCGGACAGTCCCGTGAAGATTTCATAAACTTAATCGAGCCACTCGTGGCCAAACATCGCGAACATTACTGCTGCTTAACGTTCATTCGAGGAAATTAGTTATCAACGCGTAACGCTCTAGCCGGGGTCGTTGCTAAATTTGCTACATTAGCGTCAACCCCGAGGAGATAAGATCCAAGCGTAAAGCCGCGTCCACCGATAAGTAGTCCCGCGACGATCCGGTAAACCGACGAATAAAACGCATAATAAAAATGATCGCTGCTCTAGCGGCGATACCGCGACGACTCTTCGAATTCCACCGCGTCCACCAGAACGGATCGTGAAGATGAAGTCGCTCCAGGAAAGTTGGGATGACCTCGTGCAGGGTCTCCGCGGCTCGTTTGATGGATCTCCTCCGTCCTTCTCTCGGGCCCTGGACCAGTGGCGTCCACGTATTACCACCGGATACCCGTTTACGCCGTCGAGTTTGGTGGCACATATTATATACCTGCGGAAAGGAGGCAGAAACGTGGACGAAACCGAGCAGAAAAAGGCGAGATCCAAAAGAGCGAGTGAAAGAGAGAGAAAGGGAGAGGGAGAAAGACATGGGCGGCTTTCTCGTCGCTGGCGTGCTTATTGCGTGATATTAGCCACGGTGGCTGCCGGGGTAATCATAATCTAGAAAGAGGGACAAAACATAGGGCCCCGAATCGCATAACGCTGAATTTTACGACTTCTGCCGCGGGAGGACGGACGACCGGATGCAACGCGACTTTTTACCACCCTCTAACGTCCCTTGGTTTGATGTCAACAAGAAGATGCCACCGACCATCGGACATCCACACCGACGTTGAAGAACTTGGGAAACCAATCTCTCGAACCAGGTCGGATTAGCTGTTAAACACTTGTAGGAAGCAGGAGATTCTGAGAAAGTGGAAACTTGGGTCCTGAACGGTTTCTTCGAGACGCTGCTATCCTCGACAAGACGAGGTTTCTCTTGGAGGTCCAGGTCTGGCAGACCGTGCTACTGACTCCCGTGATAAATTAATTTTCTAAGACTTAGTTGAGATATACTTATAACGTTGAGTGTTATTTTATTCACTTGGACAGAGAAAATGATATAATTCTATATAAGGTTCTTCTTGGAAGTCCTAGTCTGATTAACCATGCTTCCTATTCTGTGATAAATTAATTTTTTTAAAGTTCACTGAAAGATACTTATATCGTTAACATTGAGTGTTGTTCACTTGGACAGAGAAAATTCTGTAATTAATCATTTCTCAATGGAAAACGTGATAGTCAATTAGAGTAATGATAATACTTGAAGATATGGCTTCTGTTAAAACTTTTAGCCACGAAGGTATCGAATTAAGAGCATTAATTGCCAAAAAATCTAGAGCATCGTCTAAGGAAATTTTAATGAAATCAGCTTGGCAGTCGACGTATTAAGGTGGGATCTGTTAAATAAACCATACTGATGAGTCCAATTAGCAGATGTGGAACGATCTCACAATCAGTAATATCATCGTTTATACCAACGGTGATACTATTACTGAATCGCGAACTAGAAAAATAAGTAAATTTCTTAATAACGAGGATAATAATATCTTTAAAAGATTCATTGCTTCCTACCAAGTCCGCGTATGGTAAAGCAAGAAATATCGTGAATAGCGCCCAAGTCTAACGTTTCCTTGAATCAGCCGTGCCATTACTCTCGTATATGCAAACGAGTTAACTGTCTATAAATAAATAATGACTAATCGAATCGTATCAGCGGATCAATCGCACGGATCGTTCAGCTCGAGAGCGTAAGAACGCGATTCGCTGTCGGCGCTTTCTATCTGAAACGATCGTTCCGAGAATCCGATCTGATTTACGCGTTTGCATAAACCCCGTTACGGTTTCCAGGTAATAAAGAGAAACAGGGAAAACGAATCGGAGGGTCCACAAGAAACCGGGATCGCGACCGTTTCTCCGCTGTTACGTCGCGTAGGTTTCGCAATCCGGTCGATACGAAATGGTGAACTATGGTTCGATTAGGAAAATATTTGACTTGGTTAGACAGAAACAATGTATGTACGTTCTAATACAAATTTCTAGATAGGAATGAAAGACTCGGATGAAATTTTCGAATAACGAATCAAAGATGAAGAAAACTGCTTGTTCTTCCTGTGTTCAATAATAATTCCAATCTGAATTCATAAAATAATATTGAATTATTTATTGGATTGTCCAGAAAGTTCGTGCCAATTTTTAAGAAAAATTCAAAGCCACATTTGAATTTTTACATATATTTATTTAATATTATTTTATTCCACAATTTTTCCGCCCTTTAAGGGATGTATATATGTTATTTGTTTCCAGACAACCCTATATATTGAAATTTCATTGAATTAAACCGATTCAATGAAGTTTCATTGAATCAACCGAATAACTGTTCGATTGAATAAACATACTGTTCTTATTCGTTACCTACTACTCGAATAAAATATTCTGTATCAATGTGGCTAGGAACACGAAAAACGATTTATTTGCAACGTTTAATCAATTAAATATTTACTCAAGCTGTTATTCGCCTATAGTAAAACTTATTTTCACGATATAATTCTCATTGTGATTTTTATTGAATTAATAATAAATTAAAACAAGAAAGTGTTTACTTTTCATTCATTATTCGAAAGTTTTATCTAACTGAGCATTCTGTCCATTCAGCTAAAAAATAGAATTAAACAAACGCTTGCCTCGGTCTATACTTTGGTAATAAATTTGATTTTCATCCTACGAGCAATCATTTACGGAATTTGAGGCAGTGGAAGGTGAAGGAATTCTCGTCGACTGGCGGGAGGTCTCCCAAGTCGATTCTTTCGCTAGCTGAACCTTAACAGAATGGAAACGGAGCTCGGAATCGCGAACCCTGCGCGTAATAGACGCAGAGAGCATTTTTTTCACGGAAGACACTGAACAGAAGGTTCCGCGGATATTTCTCCAGAGGCGTAAGTACGGTCTTGTAATTTCCGAGAGATTGAGATCGTGAGTCACTCACCGTAAGGTCGGTCCGCAACGGGCTCGCACGAGTCTGCAACAGAAAAGCAAAATCAAATATTTGATAAGGAACGCATTCTCCGTTGGCGTGCGCCGAATTCTTCGTTTCACTATTGCTAGCTATTAAACAGCGGGATTCCTCGAGCAAGGATAATACTACGCTCGTTAACAGTGAATTCTATTCAGGATTCCCTTCTTTGACTGTTTTACAGATGCGCAACATTCTTATCTATGTATATACAGATACAGATTTCAAGGAATTTGAATTGTTTTAATTTTAATTTCAATTGTATAATATTTCACAGTTAATAGGTGTACATGTCTGTGCATGGGTGTGCTGCTTAAAAGTGTAATTGAACGATAGTTGATGTTTAATCATTCCAATTAATTGCAAGTGTTTTTAGTACTTATGTAGGAAGAAGAATAAATTAGTTAAAAAATCTTACAAATAGAAGGTATCGTCAAAAGAGTGGGTGTGCGGAATGCCACGTGAAATGTAACTTCATAGACAGAATGGTGAAAATTTTAATAATCCTTCCCATATATTTGGAAGATTAGACAAGTCTACTATATTATTTCCAGACTACGTTTTAGTAAATAAAAGTTGGATAAAAAGTAATTAGATTAGTTACTTTACATTTGGAAAGTATGGCATGATTTATTTTTACTAATGATTATTTATACTTTTGCTAATATTTCTGAAAGTGTAAAAAAAATTGACAAATTTGTCTCTCTCTGAGAGAAATACCTATAATTACGCAGCCGTCCGAATGGTTTATTCGCGACAATTGAACAACGACCATGATCCTCCGAGCAGGTAATAACTTTGTAATCATCTGAATCGGAACGACACTCGCGCAACCGAGACGATTATCTTTTTCGATTTGCATACGGCGGATGTTGCCGCGATAATTTAACCGCGAAGGAGGTGGTATTGTCGGCTAATAAAGGCCTTCGACTCTCGCGTCTCTGTTAAGTAATATCGCTGCCCGCTAAATTGCGAGCAATTTGCGCTTCCATAGGGACAATTGCGCGCTGAAGGATTTCATCGATCAAGGTGTAACATCTTTATTCAATTCTTGGTAATCGAGTCGCTACGGTGAACTCTCTTCTGGAGTTCAAGTTCCAACTTTGCGTATTTATTACTATGTTTATTTATATTCATATTTATTTCCGATGAATTTATTTTACACCATTCGATAGATTTATTTCACTCGATTCCATAAAATTATTTCATTCAATACAGTGCTCCGTTTTACTCAACATGTTTACTTCCTCTGTTCAATACAAGACAATTTCAAAACAATTTCTTTTCATTTCATTCCATGGAATACATTAGCCTCGTTTTATTGTTTATTCAAGGAATGATTCATCAAAAAATCATGAAATTTGTCTTGAGCAAATTTTATTCTGAATGAAGAATACAAATTCCACATTTATTCGATAAATTAAAAACAAATGAATCATCTTTAGGGTTGTTCTTCTCCCACTGCTCATTCTTGTTCGAATACGAGTGGCTAAAGGATTCGTATCTTTTATTCTCACAAATCTAGACGTTTTAATCTTTATTCGAAGTAATATTTGCCTCATTCCGTTACCGGTCTCCTTCGCGTCGTTGAGATTTCCAGGTGTGGCACTCCGAGCGAATCGAAAGCGCACGGATCTAATTGAGAATCCAAGTGTCGAAATGCTCGGGAGCAGGTGGCAAAAACCAGGAAGTTTTAATGCCACGTCCATGGGCAGCAGATGCCAGGCCGTCAAGATCGGCTTAGCGGGAGCTGGTAAATGTCTCACTCAAGGCGATCGCACGACTCTAATAGAACCCGCTAGGTAGGTCATCGGATGTCATAAACGCTCGACGAAGTTTCTTCGGCGATGCAGCGCGTGTTAATAGCCTCATTAGATATCACGGCGCAGTGACGTATGTAACCAACCGTGGACCACCGACCCCAAAACTTCCTATGGTAATCGTACAAGCACTGGTTATCTATCCTTCGTTTGAATAAAGTATTGTCACTGACCTAAATCAGACCTGACCAGTGTTTAATTACAAATTTGATATTTTAAAGGAGAGATACCGGACATACCGAACTTCTAACAGCTCAAATTGGTAAGAGTAGATTGAATCAGTTGGTACAAAATATTCTAAATTGGAGCTTTACAGCTGCATTCAATATTGTAACTATCAATTAATAATCTCACATTAAGAAAAAACATATCGAGATCTCGTGTGCATTCTATTCAACCGATTACTAAACTTACAAACAAACTGAAGAGTTCTCCAAAAGAAGCTTCAGGATTTCATCTTTCAATAAAACACAAATATCATAGATAGTATAACTGTACGTACTTTTATCTTAAAAAACAACCTCCTAAAACCCCTTTTGGTGAACCCTTTATCATATCTTTAACTCATTCATCAGTTGCTAACAGAAATACCATGCTGTACGATTATACACGTTCTAATTTCCTCTATGTGTTACCTATTTTGAAATTTTTCTTGAAATCTTCAGTCTTAACAAATAATGGAACTCGTAGCTCCGAAGGAATAGAAACGTTTTCAAGGCAATTGAAAGGCTCGCTGCATGTTATTTGGAGACGTCTGCGTCGCTTTTGTCGTCGTCGATGCCGTCGACGACAGGTCCGTCGAAATACCAGATGCAGAATGTTTTGTCCTGTCGAATCTAATCTCTGCTGTCGATCGCGGTGCCAGCAGGACGACCCGCCTGTTGTCCATTATTATACGCTTCTTGCGCGGATGACTGGCTCCGCCGTACCACTGTCCGGCACTTTCAGGATTCGACAAGAGTTCACGAGGAAAACAATAAAATTCTTTACGGAAACGCCTTCGAAGACTTCGAGTCTCCCTACTCGTATCTCATTTAATTCGTTAACGCGTACGCTTTCATCTTCACTCGAAACAAAAATAATAATCTTCTGACTAGTCTGTTTTTAAAACACGAGTTTCAGGATCATGTGGATTAAGTAAATTCAAAAGCAAGATTTTGTTATTAAATTTTCGAGTTTGGAGCGTTTAATGATTAACTCTCTATGGATCCATGAATCTTCGGGTCACATGCTAATACATCGACATTTACGTTGATAATTTTAGTTTCTTTTTTTTAACAACATGATGTAGATGTCTTAATTATACAGTGCCTCTGATAACTATACTGCGGATTATATACAATTACGACGTGCAATAATAGAGAAAGTATACGTAAAATGTACATAAGATATGTTGAAAATATTCTACAATTACTATAATGATATTGTTATTTCATTTTGCATAAGTGCACATACCTTTTAGTTACTTTTTGGTATGTTTATTATATCAGTTTATATCGTAAATACATAAAATCCACTGATAACCAATAATAATATTGATGATCGTTGGCAGCACCATCAACCTGACATATCAAAGTAAATGCCTTATCAGTTGTCTCCAGAAAAATCAAATTCAGTCCATAGAGGGTTAAACTCTAAAGTCGCCGTACCAATTTTTCCTGTACAAAAGTGAGAATCAATTAAACCGTATACACAAACACGACAGGTCATAAAAGCATCGTAATTAGATCTGCTTTAGGTAAATGAGAATAATTTATCGAAACTGGGTGTAGGACTATTATTTCCATTTCAACAAAAGACAATTGGCCAACTAGAGAACGTCCGATTCGAAATCCAGCACTCCTCATACATTTCTCAGCGGGCAATCACGCTGCAGCGGCGTCGTATTCTAATATTTCCCGTGAACCGCGCCGCGACGCGCCATCACGAATTCTAATTCATTCGCCGGTCGTCCTGGGCCCTGGAGGTGCCAACGGGGTCGCACGCGATAGTCGATAAATATTAAACGACTTTCCACCTGCCCGGTCGTGGCTCGGCTGCGTTTCGAGCGGCTGGGAGGGGAGAGGGACTTCCGAGAGGGAGATGACTGAATGTTAATTAGCGAGGCGTGACAAGTGTTAAGTAATCCGTCCATCTAGCGGCCCGGCGAGGGGGGAGGAGCCCGCCTAACGCTTCAGCAATTAACGCGACACCGCCGCCACGCGCGCCATCGAACCCGTGTTAAGGCGCTCGCAATTAACGACCGATTTAACTGTTAACCCCGCTCGGACTGGAAAGTGAAACGAAACTTCGTGCCCCTCGTGTCCCCGGAAGTAGCTGACTTCGCTTTCGCGGGCCCTAACTGTACATCTTCGGCCGATCCATCACTCGATGACAACTCTATTCGTCTACTGTGTTCGAAAACGAATTTCTACCAGACGAAGCGATCTGTTACTTCTACATTCTAAAGTATTGATGGTTTTCGACTACTGCATGCTTCTGGGCATCGACTTATGTAGATTTGTAGCGCATGTAGATTTAAATGTTTAAAGAATTTCTGTATAGATTACGTTTTGTATTAAAATTCCACTGTCTGTTATTAAAGTCTCCTTGACATGTATCTTGAGTAATACAGATCCTGATTGTATTTTATAATTATTATAGGCTATACCTTCCGTTTGGGACGTAAGGAGAAGCTGAAGAAGAATGGTAAGGGTTGTAAAGAGATTGCAACGCTCAGATTCTCGATTTTTTGTTATTAGTTGTAATTTGTTGTTAAAATTAATGGACTGAATTCATTCATGCGAGGAACGGGTTGACGATCATTGCTATATGGAGATATTCAGCGAAATAATGCTGACGTTGTATCGATCCGAGCAATGGATCGGTAACTTTCGGTGCACCGTGGTCATTCACCGGACCAACATGACTGGGCACTTCGAACCGACGGATCCGAAGTATCGGTTAGGCAAGAGTTGATCGTCGTGCGATGAATTTTGTCACCGTCATTCAAGGCTATACCTTAAGGTTTCTTTAACTGTTTTTAAACAGCCGAATGTGTCGTATTCTACTATTTCAGTGTCTAACAACTAAAATAATTCTTCCAAAGAGAAATTCTGAATCCTTATTTGGAGTTTAAACCCATGCATCTATCCAAATATTTTCGACACAGCCACGTAAACCAAATTCCTAGACATACCAAATTTT